ATATATTATTAATTATGTTATAAATTAATTATGTATTTACAAACGTAACCTCGGTTATTTGTTATTTATTTTTTTATATTCTAAAATCAATTTACATTTATTATAAAAAATAATATTTTTATTTATATTACATCATATAAATTATTGAACTTATATATATAATTGTTATATATAATTATCTGGCCGTAGTATAACGTTAATATTTAACGTGTGTTTGCTATTTGTTCTGTTCTGACTGCTCTCTAGCTAACGCACTAGATATTGGTCCAAAACACTTCCACCTTTCTATCCTGGTCCCTTTATTTTGACTCTTTTGCGTTTTGGAACCCGATAGAGTAGGATAATCCAAATTTGCCTTTTTTAACTAGATTGAGGCATGTATAATAGCAAGTTCAGCTCACCAATGCCAGCCATTTTTATCCACGTTATTATTCAAAATTTTGGAATCTGATAAAATATAAATGATTTATATAAAATTCGATGAAGAAATTAATCTTAATATATTAATTTTGATTAAAAATAAATAAATAAACAACCATGAAAATTAAGAAGATATACCTACTGATGCAACGTTAGGGGTTATCAAGATAATTATTGCTGAACGTGTAAGTGAAAAAGGAAGATGGAATAGCTCTTGCACGGGTAAGACGAACATGATTATGTCAATTGATTTGCATAATCACTTTAACTCACATATCATTACCATATGGACTAGAGAAATAAATATTGTGCTGAATGTAATAAAAAAAACTACCTTTTATTAAAGAGTTTACTACATTTTTCTTCTTCTTCTTCTTTTAATCATCTCAAACTACTAATCAGAACCGAATGTTTTTCGTATTTACATATATTGAAGAACACTAATATACTGATCATATTATAGTTAAATTTAAAACACCTCTATAAATAAAGACATAAAACATAAAATTTTCGCTAATAAAAAATTAGGATATCATGACTCAAATCCAAAACATTTTTTTTCACGAGGTAAACAACTTGGTTTATGCCGAATGTTTATCCTTCATAGAAAGAAAGTACAGGTATTGTTAGACAAACAGGATAAATGCACTATTAAGTATACTAAAATTTATTTTTTAAAAATTAAATACATGAATTTTAATTTTTTTTTCTTTTGAATATATCATTTTTTTTTCGAAACTACAAATCAAGTATTTTTTTCAATTTTTCTATTATCTAATAAGGTGTTCGTTAATCTTAGAATATCAAATTATAATTTTTTTCTCTTTTTTCTCTTAATCAAATATATGAATTTTAATTTTTTTTTTAATACATCAATTTTTTCAAAACTCGTCAATTAAGTATTTTTATCAATCTTTTTTATTCATTGATGAAGTGTTTGTTGCCTCCATAATACTAAATTATAAATTTGCTTCTTTTTGTTTGAATGAACTTTTTTCTCAAATTATTCTACCATTTCAAAATTTGATAGAATTAAAAAAATATATTTTTTATTTGTATAACTCCGAACTAAATTATATTATATTTAGACATGAAAATTTTTTAAAAAAAAACATAAATGTAAGATTTTTCGTTAAAAAAAAAACACAAACTATTATTTAGTCTTTTAAACAACATTGGTCATGCTTAATTTAGTATTATTTTTATTTCACAAAATGTTTTCTTTTCTTGTCAATCTTTCCATATTTTTTCCTTTTCCCTTTTTCTATTTCCTAAAACAAAACATCAAAACTGATTGAAAATGAACAAAAACTACTAAGTTACAAATAGATTTAAAGATACAATGACTAGTTTTTGAAACTAGAGGGACTAATTAATTCATTTCTTGAAATGAGAGAGACTAACTTATAATTTACTATGAGTGTTTGAGGTGAAAGTTTCTTTCAATAAAAAGATGATAAAATTATAATTGGTATTTTAAAATAACAAACACACCATCAATTAATATACAAATTGATAGAAATACAAAGTTGACAATATTGAAAAGGTTAATATATTCGAATGAAAAATTAAAATCGATATACTCGATTGAAAAAAATATAAAATTGTAATTTGGTATTGTAAGATAACGGACATTTTATCAATTAATAAAGAAATTAATACAAATATTTGATTGACGAGTTTAAAAAATTAATATATTTAAAAAGATAAATTAAAAATCCTTATATTCCATTGAAAAAAAATTAAAAATTAATATACTTAAAATATAATTATTCTTTGGGCAAACAAACATATGGCACCCTTGCACATTATCAGAATCTGAAACTTGTTTATAAAATTGGCAAGTAATTTACATCATACGACTAAGCACTTATGAGCTGGCACATCATACATTGTATCATCCTACTAAAAATTGGTCCAAAATCTAACGAGGTTTAAATCCAAATCTTGATGTACTTGCCCTACATCTGCCGATTGAATTGCTATTTACCAGCCAAGATTGTGCGCTTACCTTTCAAACTTGACATCGCCCCTTTCTTATCCATCTTACAAATGAAATCTTCTTTTTTCGGAGAACATTTGCAAAATCATATCCCTTTGGTAACTTTCCTCCATAACTATCAAATCAATAAGCACCACGTGTCCAACCAGAACTTTTTGTTTACCCAAACTCGCTCTCTGATTGCAGTTTTATAAGCCTTATCTGACGATCTTGTCAGTATATCACTGCTCACCAGAGTGGACCCCACAACTGTACCTCGATATCTCCGTCTTTCTTAGAGAAAAACATCGTAAAGAAGTAAAAAGATTTCTTACTTATACTAAATAGATTTTTTATTGTATTTTATTTTTTTGTTTTACTTCAAAGGAGAAAAAACAAATAACAAACAGTCCCAGAAGGTACGCTTGCTTGCTTCTCTTTCACAATCCCTAGCTTCTTGCTTGCTTTGTAAAAACACCCTTTTAAAATATTTTATTTTCTTGGTCTTTTAGCACCCCTTTCATGGTATTTTCACCGAGGGTTTCGGTTTTTTGTTTAAGTCCAAATGTGTGAAATCTTTTGTTGTTGTTGTTGTTGTTGATGATGATGATGATGATTTTAGCTTCTTAACTGATAGGGTTTTCTTTTTCTTTTTCTCTTTTTGTGTTTGCTTTTGCAGGTTCGTTTTGTTACGTTTGCTTGCCATTCTTGGAAGGCTTTAAAAGGTTTAGTTACTCGCTGGTTTATTCCTTCTTAGTTATATTTGTTTGCCTTTAGTTACTTTTCTGTATTTGCACTTAATGGATGATGTCTCTGTCTCTTGTTTATGGATTGCTTTGATTTATTTTCTAGTGGTTAGCTTTTATTGCTTTACTTTGTTTTGAATGAAGTGCATTTTTAATGTGATGGTACTGCCACTCTTTGCTTACCATTGTTACAATTCAGGACTTTCTAGGAAATTTACGATCAGGGGTGTGTTATTTCAATTTTTTTTATATATTTTTTTGCCTGAATTGCTTGGCTATGGATTCAAATGGCCTGTCTCACTGTGGGGGATTTTAATTTGACCAAAGTTTCCTATATCAGATTAGGTAGATGATTAGTTTTTTAAGTGCTTTGTCCATATAGATGCTAGGGAATAGGAGCTCTTTTGAGTGTGACTAGGAGAACTCATATCCTGAAATGGTAGTAGAATAAAATAGTCAAATGATAGCTAATGTCGCGAATAGAATACCATTCCTTGTCATGTAGGCACATGAGGTACCCCTTTGAGATGAAATGCCTGCATGATCTTTTATATTTTTGGTTGATTGGATGATGAGATAGAAACTCTGAATACCATAACAATAGATGCAACAACTTTTGCAGCTCTTCCTACCTCCCCTGCATATACTAGCCTTCTGCAGTTGTTTAGTTTACTTAAGCATTCTAAGTTGGGAGTTTGATGTATTGAATGTCATAATGTGAAATTTAGGAAAAACCTTCAGAACCTTTAAAGGGAACAAAGTTTTTCTGTAGAAACTTTAGGGCAAGCAATGCAATTTGTGTTATGGACGTGCTCAATTTGTCAAGAATGAGGTCAAACCTACTGTATAGAAGCCCTAAAGTTCTTTTAAAACAAAATTCTAGGTTTAGAATTTTAGGCACTGTTAATTCTAGGTAACGCAAATCGTAGCCTGAAATGTCAATTCAGATCTTTGAAATAAGTTTGGGTGGAAAAACCTTTGGGTTCCTGCCTCTGAATTCTCTCTCTCTCTCTCTCAGAATAACAGTTCACCCTCCTATGGTTCTGCCTTCTCTTCTCTCAGTCCATTGTTCTTTCCTCTCAGCCTACTGCTATCTCTTCTCAACAAAAGCTTTGATTATTAGCTTGATTTCAAGGATTTTAGCACGAGACAGTTACAAAAGTTTATTGTATTTGCATGGATTTTTTTAATTGAAATTTCTAATGAATTATATATAGGCAACAATTCCTATTGTTTCAATTGTAAAACAAATTGGTTGATTACAAAGTAGGTCAAAACTTGAAACGATTTGGTTGATTACATACATGGCTGTAACATTTTTTTTTTTGGGAATGCATGGCTGTTGCAAATTGTTGTGATTAAAAAGAATATAAATTCTGTTTGGGTATTTGTAAGCAGCACATTTTGAGTTTTATCTGAAACCCAAAATCCAAATGCTAATTCGATTCAGTTTTGGGTGGAATTGTTGTGGGTTAGGGTGCCCGAATGTGCACCTCTAGACATGATCAACATGTAGCATATAAGCAATGAGCATTCTGAATGTAGTTTCAGAAGAATCATCTTCTCCTGCTTTATTTCCTTTCCCTTTAAGAACTGAGGTTCTCAATTGTGAAACATACATCAAATTTGGTATTGTCACACTAGATATATCAGTGGTACCATAGAATCCCATAATGGATAGCGTACACTTTTTTGGTTGAACGTAATTGTGTTTTTTCATTTTCATCTCTTTGCTTGCATTCATTCCATCGTGGTAGGCACAATTTCCTTAACAAACTATATATTCACTCTTTTTGCTGCAGGGAGGGAAACAATAAAAGGCCATTTGGGGAAGGCAGGAAATTATACCGAACATGAGTGAAGCAAACCAAGTGAATAATCCTGATGCTTTAGCAATCGTTCCTCTGAAACGCAAGCGTGGTCGTCCACGCAAGTACCCTAAACTGGAGGCTGATCACGAGGGGAATGCCCATGTTCCAGGAATTCAAAATCTGAACTGTGGGGAAAATGCTGGTGCTCCTCCTGGATTCGGAGGGGTCAATGGTAATCAGCCAAGGGTCAATGGTAATCAGCCACATCAAGTAGATCCAGTTAACAATGCAGTTGATGCCGTGATAGGCCAGTCAGTGTTTGGTGTCGTAGAAGCAACATTTAATGATGGATATTTGCTGAATGTCAGGGTTGGCGATACAGAAACCACTTTGAAGGGTGTTGTTTTTAAGCCTGGACATTACGACCCTGTTATGCCGGAAAATGATATTGCCCCAGGTGTTCCAATGATCAGAAGGAATGAGATTCCCCTCCCGAGAGAAAACAATACTCATGGAAACAGCCGTAAACCTGGGCCTAGAGATAGGAATGGAACTGCTCATGCTGCTCGAGCTGCTAATCTAGTTGGCTCAAAAGGTAAGAAGGTGCATTCAGTGGTAACCCAACCTCCTACAATATCAAGAGGCAATTTAGTTCCTGTTGTACTTGAGCCTGTCAATCTATCAAATGGTGAACCCAGTGCCAGTGCCAGTGCCATAAACCGAACTGCCCATCAGGTGCCTTTCAAAGGCAAGCAGGTTCTAGATACTACTCATTCATCAAATGGATCAACAACAACAAACGAGATCATACAACTTCAATCTCAAAATAACCACCAGATGATTGCAATTCCTTTTAATCAAAATCCAGTAGGGGGGCTAGATGAATCAGAAGCCAACCCATTGAAAACAGCTGGTATGCCTTTTGAAAAATTGTTAACTGAAGTCATCAAGAGGGTTCATGCTCCACCGCAATCAACAGAGACTAATAGCAGCTCAGTTGGTCATGCTCCACCGCAATTAACAGAGACTAATAGCAGCTCAGCTGTTAACTTGCCTGTGGAAGCTTCTGGTATTGTGCCAGGAAAGGATGCCAGTGACACAGATCAGGCCCTGTCTGTTGAACCACTGCAAGTCTTACAGCCTATTGTTGACAATCATCCTGCAGTTGCATCTAGACCTTCTGAGGACCACAGGACTGGCAAAATGACTCAGCTCTTGCAGGTAAAATTAATGTTCAATCATCTGTTATATACTAAAGGCCATTACCCAGGTACAAGATCCATGACTCATAATTGAAATTGAACCTTAAAAAGGTTTTGCAGGAAAACATGATAGACAATCCGATGGCTGGGACTGAGGAGCCGGATTCAGGTTCCAACTTGAACTAGATACTTTGAAAAGCCCAGAAACCGAGCCTGGACATGAATGGAGTAGTCTTCTAAGAACGGGGCACGGGCAAAAGGTGTACCTGCTGCTACTGTACTATCTGAAATGTTTGCTAGACCTGCACAAGTCTATAGAAAGTTAGTGATCTTAAATTAGGTAGAGGCCACAGAAGATCCATCTTAGCTCAAAAGTTGGAGGCTACGATGTCTTGTCTTAGACTTTTATTTTATTTTCCTTCACAGTTATAAAGGAACCTAGGTGCTTGTTAGCATTTCGTACTGTAATTTATTTTCAATTTGAATTGAAGGATAGCTCCCTATTAGATATTTTATACAGCATCAAAGCTTTGATCATGTTATTATTTCTAAGGGACGAGTTGTACTTTTAGTTGTGCTGTGCTAGTGCCAGGTAGATTTGTTCAAAGCGATCTTGCAGGATAAAAGGGAAGATGAGTGTTGGACTTGAGGTCTGTCCCTGGTGATGTCTTGAACCGCTCCATTTACGAGAGGTGGTGCGGTTTTGGTATTTCAAGAACTGCATGATCTGTGATTATCCTTCCTTATGTGTGATCGTAGGGTAAAATGTATAATAAGCTGTTCACATTAGGTAATTTGGATACCAAGTCTCATATTCCAGGTTGAGGTTCTAACACAATATATTATATTACTATTAATGTTTAAGATATAAAACTGTAGTGTTAAGGGTGTAAAAAATGATTTTAAGTGAAGTGTTAAAAATTATGAATAATAGTGGATGTATTTGTGGTCTAAAACAAAAAATGGATGAAAAAGAGTTAAAACTCTTCGCCATCGAAATTTCTTTTTACCAAACATAAGTAAAGAGGATGAACAGTTACGGAGGTAATTTTTCATCCCTTTGACTTCCATACCAAACATATCTAAATAACTACTAATAGTTACTCTACGACAAAGAGAGGAATAAACACAAGGAAGAGAGATGATATAATAATTTCTATCAAAATCATCTCTACTAATATAAAATTTCTCACTCAAGTGAGTAGACTTTGCTTCTACGGACTGTAAACAAGGATGCCTAAGCCTTAGAGCCAACAGAGAAGGTGAGGTTCAAATTTTTCCAGCAACAAAAACCAAACAGCTACACAGAAACCTTATATTACCTGATGCAGGAAGGGAAAAAAGAATCCTATGGCAATAATCTTGCACTAATTGAACCCTAAAACTGTTGCGAAATTGAGCAAAAGATGAAATGGATTATCCTACTGACTTTTTGTATCAAAACCTTGTAGCTGTTGCCTCGGTCTCAATATTGTACGCTTTACACCTTTTGGCTCGTATCATCACTTTTCAAGATGCAATTCTTCTTTCCACCAGGGGAAATTCCTCACAATTTTCAGCCAAAACAGAAAATCCCCCTACATCATGTCTTACAACATGAATCATCAAATGAAAAATCACCCCCAAATCAGGTTTTACAAAAAAACATTGAGATGAGTTAAAACCCTGAAAATGAGAGATGAAACTAATGACCTATTGCTCGATGCCCTTCGGTAAAACTATGGACCAAAATTTTATTGTTCATGAAAAAGAATCTTGATTTCACCAAGGAGCATACTCATGGAAATTTGGTGTTGAAAAGAGTATTAGATCCTGGGACTGGAATGGGACGAATAGCAGGGATGGGCGGCTGAAGAAAAGGAATATGGCTTGGCACTGCAAATGGTTGCTGTCCACCAGCTACAAAAGGTGGAGTCACACAGAGCTGCAAGGTTTGGCCAGCTGCACTTCCTGCAATCCAAATGAAAAGGAAAAAAAAAAAAAAAAAAAAAAAAGGCACAGAAAAACATAGAGATGCTGAGACTTAGTGCTGCCATCTATAATAACATTATGCTGTGGAAATATTTTCTTCATTAACTTTTCTGTGTGGTTGCAAGTGGGAGGGGCATGCAAATACATTGAGCTCTAAAAACAAGCACCAGCAAAAAACATAATCCCCTTCCCCATATTTGAGTTATAGAGTTAAATTTAAAGTTCTTTTCTCCCATGAAGTCCAACTCAATGGAATTGGTGTCCCGCATGGTTTTGCACATGTTGATTTCCAAACCCTTTTGGGCATTGACAGAAGTAAAAAAATTTCACATTAATTTTTTTATAACAGTTATCCTGACTTGCTAGCCTAGCAGTTAGGTTGTCCAATCACGTAGTCAGTAACCACAAAAACCTAAGCTTACTTTGAATGTGCAACCTCGTTGATGGCAGCCGCAAGGGCAATGCCAAACCATTGAAACCAGAATCTCTTGCAATATAATATAAAATTTCAACCGAATAAGAGGAAAACTTTTTTCATACCTTGGTGTTTAGGGTATTGGACTTGGTGTGGAGGTAACATAGGACGTGCAGATACAGATGACACAGCCGCAGCGCTTGGAACAAAATCCTTTCATAAGAAAAATGCAATGAAACAATCAGAGAAGTATACCATGCATTTAATCCACTTGGACAAGAACTCCAGGGTAGTGAAGAAAAATAAAATCTTGAGATGGCTTGAAATGCAAGAGGATCAGCTTCAATAAAAAATAAAAAAAGACATGCGTTGAAAAAGAGAAGGAAGTTACAGATGAAAACCAAGAAAATAAGCGTGCCACTAGACCTTCAAGATATGAGCACAAGATTGCTTGCTTAGCTGCAGACTTTGGTCACTGATATATGGATAATTGCAATTTCTTCCACATAATATTGCATATTGAAAATCCTAGCTAATTAGCTATCTAGCTACAGATCAATGACACACACAACAAGCATTCTTTTATTATGATATAAAAGCATCCGTGTTAAGAGAAGCATGGTGTAACACTACTTGAGTAAACCAACTATATATATAAATATTTGGAAAAGTAAACCACAGTAGGATGTTCAGAATCAGTATGTGGTCTAGAAGTACTGCTCAAGGCTGGTTCTAGAAACCATCTCGAGATCTGATAATGACTTAAAATCATCCCTCCCCAAAATTTAGTATAAATTGCTTACTATCATGACCATAAAACAGTTCAATACAAGCTACGACAACAGAAACTATATGTTTGTTGTATTTGTAACAATCAAACATCAGACTGCTTTAGTAATTTCATGTTGCAGATTCTGCATCTTACCTGAGAAACTGGCTGAACATAAAAAAGCTGCCCCAGTCGTCCAACCATAACCTAAAGAAACAGAGATCCAGATTAGCAAATAAAGTCACAAATCTCCAGATCCAACAATAGAACAAAATAGCATCAGAAATAAACTGCCAGAAGGATAACATGAATCTTCCTTTTACTTACGGATTGAGAATTTTGAGGCACATATGCTTGTGCTGCCTGAACAGCATGATACTGACCACCATATCTAAGTGGCTGTGCTCTGCTTCCCACATGTCCAACAACCTATAGCCAAAGCAAAACCTTGTGAGAACTGATGCAGAATTCCTCTCTTAACAGCTTGGGCTAGTTCAACCAAAAAGAAAATTCCACAAGCTGACCAGAAAGTTCCTAATTCTAACTATGGCAGTTTCTTTTGTGACTTTAATAAATATGAGAGATTACTCATAAGAAGCAAGAACAAGAAGTTAACTAATACATACAGGTTGCAAAAATTGCGGTCCATTGCCACCATTTGCAGCTGTCAAGTTATTGTAGGGGGGAACTTGGAAGGGACAGATGATCGAGGTGCAAAAGCGATCCCAGCTTCAGGCTGGACAGCAGCAACAGGTACTGCTGGAGAGTTGCTTGGCATGTAAGCCATGCTTGCAACTATTGGCACTGCTGGAGCAGTAGCTGATATAGGATTGGAGAAGGATGGAGAAAAAACTTTTGCTCCTGGATTGAGCTTGAATGCCTGAAAGAAAATTAATGCCAAAAACAATCACCATGGCTATAAAACTGATGTTACAAATATTCCAAAATTCCTAAAAAACTACAATCTAACCTAAACCCAACAATTTATACTATGCTTGTGGTATAGATTATAAACTACACCCGATATGAATTGCAGCAACTACGCAACAAAATTTTGGTGGTCAGTTACTCATATAAATTGCTGGTTCAGTAAGTTATATGATTTACTGATGTGACGGCCAGTGACCTGATGACTGCCCTATAAAATTGATAGTCAATGGAGGTGAGCTGAGACAGATGTGGGCAACAAAAGGTTAAATCAAAATGGTTCTTACCTTGGAGGTTCTATTGGATTCTGAAATTTGTGGAGAGACCACATGAGTAGAGTTAGCTAGTGAACTACAGTGTGATTCTGATGGAACATCAACCATTGGATTAGAAGTGGTAGAAACACTTGCACAAACAGCACTAGGAGAAGTGGTTCCCACAGAAGCAGGCCTTCCACAGTATTGATTGTCTGGCTTCATAAGCTCGCCAGCAGTATTACTAGATACATCATTAGGAAACAGCTTCACTGTTACTTGCCCTTCTGCAACAGGTTTTGCTTCACTGAGGCGAGGTCCTGCTGCATGTAGAACGTTAGGCAATTAGAACTTGAATCAAAACCAGCAAAAGCATTTTAAAAAATATATATAGGACATAATTGGGGAGTCATTGTAAATTTTAGCAACTACAGCCAAACTATGGCCTAGATGCATCTCATCATAGAGGGCCTAGTACTAAAAAAAAACTAATCAAAAGATCAGAACATGGCATGCAACCACTAAATCCGCATGAATGTTAACTACCAAATAATACAATTGATACAAAAGCCCCAAGTCTATCAATAATTGATTGTTATTATGAAACTCAGAAAACGAAGCCCTCTATACATCATGGGTATTTTATTACAAACATATTCACGGGTAGTATCAGAACTATTCACTACTAAAAGAAGGCACGCCTTCTCTTCTACTTTCTCTATGTGAAAGAAATTCACAAGAATAGGGCAGACCCGTCTTATAATTTCTGAACACGTCATTAAAACCAGTGGTAGAAATTCGACTTACTGATTGCTTCTGGGCTATGAAATTCATCAACCTGCACAAGTAAAAATTTACATCAACCACTCAGTTACAAATAGTTTCCATTTCTGCAAACACAGGGCATTAAGCAAATAAATAAATTGTGCCTGTCATGACATACACTCTTTTCCCTTTGAAACTCAAACTTTCGTTTATAATGATCCTGCTCCCCCTGTAACCAGTCTTCTCTAGTCTGCCTGTCAGAAAAAGAATTGACAGGAAATGAAAGGAATTTCAAATAAGAAAATAATTTAAACTTAGCTAATGAGCAACACAATTTAATGTGAACATAGACTCTAAACCTATCCCATGTGTCTACGTCCAAAAGGAATATGAATCATTAGTCATGTTGCACTTTGGTGGACAAATTTTGTGCTAGAACAGACAAAGGCCTGACCAGTTTGCAACCCTGATGCAAGGATAAAAAGCACAATGCAGAGGATAAGATTTTAAGGCAGCCAACAGTACAAACCCCACGTGAAACTTGGAAAGGGCTGATAATTTATACCTTCCATTAACTGAGTCACCAGAAGAAGCTTCTCTCTGCATACACAAAACAGAAATTAAAGCAAAATTAAAAAGAAAAGAAGTGAAAAGTGTACCTATATTCCTCTCACACACAAGCATCTTAAATAACGTGCCCTAATAGAGATATAAATTACCACTAATACATTTAACCAGTAACTGATAGGATTCTGTTCAAGCCATATGTCAATTCATAAGATCACCCAAACCATGATGCATCCTAGGTAGCTGATGCAGGACAGCTTAGAGGGGTTGTTCTGGATCTGGTTTTGGAGGCTGTTTAGGGCTACATTAAAGTGGATGTCTGCTGGGGATTGTAGAAACTATTAGAGTCGCACTAATAAGGTTTCTAGGAGTCACACCTAGAGGATAGAAAAACTAAGCTTCACACCTAGGGTTCTTATGAGTCACGCCTAAGGGAGGTAGAAGTAAGGGTCCAACCAATTGGGAGAGAATCAATAGATTCCTTTTCAGGAGCGATTCAGCCTTCCCAAACACACCATTACAACTCTACTGTGTACTGTGCTCTCCAAGTGAGCTTGTTCTTTAAAAGACTACATACATATTATAGAGTTTTAGGAGTCCAAATCCAATAAGAACATGGATTCCTAAACCTCGAACATAACTATTACTATTTAGAATGGAAAAACCTAATAAATTTAAGCCTAACAAATAAAATATTAAACAGAAATAAAACCGAGACCTAGACAAATTCCTGATTTTCCAGCAAATCTAAAAATTACTAAAATACCCATGCATTCTAGAATTTAAATAAAACGCATAAATCTTATCATCATCCTCCCCAGCTTGGAGAAAACTCTAGCTCGAGTCTTGAAATCATGTGATAGCATCTGCATCATTGGCAAGGCCATCAGCCTCATATGTCCCAAAATCAAAAGAATTTCCTGCCAAATCAGATTTTTGTTCTGCAGTTGCCTTTCCTTGTGCAATCCCAACATGCAAATTATTCTTCATAGATGAGTCACCCATGTGTCCATGTTCTCTACATTTAAAACAAACAGGTCCTTTGTTGTCTCTACCTTAGGTATGGATTACATTGGAAGAAGAAGGTTTTGAAACACAAGGATGGACCGGCCTTCTATCTTTATTCAAGTCAACATCCCTTCTTGCTGCTGTCTCCTCAACTTGAAACCCAACTTTTCTCGTAATTGGATACTTTAAGTACTCTTCCACATCGATTGCTATTAGACATGCATGCTCTACACTCTAAAGATCCTTCCCAAGCAATTCCCTCTTTACATAACCTCAAACCAGCCATGAATCCAGCAACGCCTTGGTCAGAACCTTCCACAATTTGACCTCTGATCCTCAGCTCTTCAAATTTCTGCATATTCATTAATTAGGCCGTCTCGTCATAAAACATAAGCTGCCTCACGAAATTTTTTTAACATAATTGGCTGGCATGTACTTTTCCATAAGCTTGGTTTTCATCTTAAACCATTTAGTGATAGGTGCGTGTCCCAATCGATCTATATCCTGTTCAACACGACACTATCAAATCTTGATTAATTCGGTAAGTTTCATCTTTGCAAACCTTACTTTTCTTCCATCCGACATTATACCAATTAAAGAATATTTCCATAGACCTAATCCAATCATTTAATAGTCCAGGATCTACCTTTCCCTCAAAATCAGGAACATTAACCTTTACTTTCATTGTAATATCACCACCAGTGTCTAGTGATTCTATTTACTACCTTCTTTGAATGCGCACTGTGGCTGGTTGATTATTCTGGGCAGCCACAACACCTTGACTTTGCAGAAGAGGTCAGCAATAAGTGCGTCAGCAAGCTGCCTACCTTGATTTAGAATTGCTGCTCACAATTCATCAATGCTGGCCAACCTTTCATCCGTAGTTTTCTTGCTTGCTTCAATTGCTAGTTGAAAGGCCTCAAATTTTGCGTTGACTTCATTGACAGTCAACATGATTGAAGAAAGTAAAAAAAAGCTTCTACGATTTAGGGCTATATTGAAGTGGATTTCTGCTGGGAATTGTAGAAACTATTATAATTACACTAATTGGGTTTCTAGAAGTCACACCTAGAGGATAGAAAAACCTAAATTTCAGACCTAGAGTTCTTAGGGGTCACACATTGAGTCACACAATCAAAAACAAATTGCTGGAATTTTATTCATAAACTTCTATTCATAATATTGAAAGACTACACATATAGAGAGTTTTAGTAGTTCAAATCCAATAAAAACATGGATTCTTAAACCTCCAACGTAACTATTACTATTTGGAATAGGAAAACCTAATAATTTTAAGACTAATAAAATAAAATGCTAAACAGAAATGAAGCCTAGACCTAGACAATTCCCAGATTTTCCAGAAAACCTGAAAATTAGTAAAATAACCCTGCATTCTAGAATTCAAATAAAATGCCAAAATCTTATTCTTTTGTAGTCCGCATCAGTAGCATTAAAACAAGCACAAAAATCTTACACAAAAAACCTGCTGTCAATATTATAACAGCCAACTATGCTGCTGCTGATACAGGCCTCTCATGAAAGAAATGTTTATTACCAAACACAAGTTAACATCATTTACAAATATCTCTGATGGATATAAAGACAGGCTTACTGAGAATCTTTCCCTATTAGACAATAAAAAAGAAAATGAAAAAAGAAACCTCACCTTTGAGACATTTATACCATCTCTTTTCCCATGTTCAAATTCCATGGCATTTCCTATGTCATTTGGTAGCGTTTTTCTCCCTTCATGATCCTTCCCCACTTTTGTCAGCATAAGACCATGAGAAGAACCATTCTTGTTCTTGGCTGAACCCCTACTTCATAGGTACAATTAGTGTAGAGTTCTATACATATAGCCAATCAAAAGAAACATTGGATGAAGAAATATTTCCTCAACCAATTTTCTGCACTAAAACAGAAGGAAAAAACTAACTTGTGATTTCTTAATTACTCAACAACAGTATATAAGTATACAGGTATGTCTGCAAACATGCAAAAGTCACTAAGGTGGTGCTCATTATGTACGAAACATGGAAATAAAAAAAGTTGGACTCGGAGAAACCATCAAAATATAACTAACTGACAGCTTGAAAATGAATGCAACAGGGAAAAGAAAAGTAAACCAATATATGTGACTTTCAATTGTTACAACTTGAAATTAAATTTCAACAGTTATTACCAATACTTACAACCCAAATCCAAAACAAGACAATACCAGTTTTGATTCGATTTCTTTTTATCCACAGTGAACTTGTTAGATTTCTTTGCCTCACTTGGTACAATCTCAGAAGATGGAGCATGGGTTACAGCAGCTTCTACATTGTCACCAGATATATTTCCAGTGACACCATCAGCTGGAAATAAAACTCCCTGCATACAATGCAGTACGCATATTAGGCACACTCTCGAATGTTGAATCCTTATAACAGACAGATATCTAAGATAGAAAGAGTTGCATACCTTAGCAACAACTTGAACAATATCAACTGAAAGAATTACAAGTGTCTCTATCACACTCCCATTGGCTACATTTGCACCGGATTTTCCCTTCTTAGTCAATCTTGCTGACTTCAAAACAATACCTATACAAAGTACAGAACTTGACTTCATAAATGATAAATCTCACTTAAAATTTCCAATCTTTATGGAGGCTTATTGCCAAAAGTACCGAATTCAGTCTATGTTAACCTAGTGAAACAGCAAAAACCTTCCATTAATTAACCAAATAGAGCACAAAACAAAAACATAAACAGAATAATATGCTAGAACAATAGCCAAAAAACCAGATCAGAATCCAATCTGATCCCATCCATTACAAACAGTACCATAACTATTTCTCAATAAAGCCAAAATCCCAGATAGGATAGCTTACAAAAATCAGAACCCAGATACCATTTGAACAAAAATCATAACTTTCAAGTAATTCAAAAACTAACGCCAAAGAGAAGCAATCTTTTCTCTCAAAAAAAGAAAATAAAATACTCACCGTTTTCCTTGTCAAAAGAAGCAGTGTGAAAGGTTCCGGAGTAGACAGAACCATCTCTAATATGCACATCAACCGGGAGTCCAATTATACACATAGTAGCAAACAATAAAGCCTCGTTTAAGCATGCCTCTGTTTCAGCTTCTGCTCTGTTTTTGTAACCCATCTCTGTTTCTACCAAAAACTTGTGATAAAACTTTTGTGTATGTCTATGTAAAGAAGGCTGTTCTTGTAAAGAGTTTGTGCTAGATAGAGGGAGAGATCTAAAGAAAGAATTGAGGAAATTGGGAAAGAAAAATGCTTTTTTCTTGTGTTTCCATGTATGTGATCGTGTCTTTGTTGTTTTGTTTGTGGAGTTTTTTGTTGGCTTTTTTATATCGTATGTATGTAATAAACCCTGTAACCTTGGCATCGTGGAATGATATGGTCGGTTCTCTGTATTTTCCATCAAAATTTCCTAAATTTATTATTAAATTTGTAAATTCAAGGACTGAATTACATAGTTAAGTAACAAACTTCAGAAACCATAACATGACTGCTCAAACGCTTACTTATAAAATTTATAATTCGATTTTTGTGATCAATATGTTTTAGAATTTATGTTTATAATACCTAACATCGAAGAGTGTTTCTTAATTATATTTAATAAGAAAATCATATAATGTTTTTCAAAAGTTAAATAACATTTATTTTTTGGTTTTATTTAATTTGATGATAAGAAATAGTTTAAATTGTTATAAAATAAATAGAAATGATAGGAGAATTGAAAAAAAATAATGGCAAGAAAATAAAATTACTATAATGTGAATATGAGTGATAAAAACTTCAAAGTTTTTCTTGTTCTCTCTAGGAAACTTGTACACCAACTAATGAATAATCAAGCCTATTTATAGGCTTCAAAATTGAAGAGAGAATTGGAAGGGATTACGAATAATCAATTGCATCACCTTTCAATTTCTCATATTGAATGATGAATTGAATCATATTAAGGATCATGAGTAGTGGAGATATGAAAAGTGGATGAATATGATGATGGACATTCATTATCATTATTTCATAACACTCCCCTCGAATGTCAATTGTACAACGAACATGCCTCGTTAAAACCTTACTAGGAAAAAACCCAATGGGAAAAAAATCCTAGCGAAGGAAAAATAGTACAATATTCCTTGCACACATTAATCTCCATTTTGGTCTCCCCTTGTTGAAGGCATTATTTAAGATCTCTAAGACGACGCATTTCAATCTTGTGAATCATCTTCTCAAAAGTTGTGATAAGTGATGCTTTAGTGAATAAATCGCTTGATTGTCACTTTGATGTATTCTTCATTTAATGGAACTATGCAAGTAGCATTATCCTCATATGATATTGTTGAAACTTCTTTTACCGGTAGATAAACCGCATGTCTCTCGGATACGATGGATCGTTGATCTTAGCCAAACACATTCTTGACTTGCCTCGTGAATTGATATTTCGCATGATTTGAAGATGTGGCAACTATAGTTTGCTTTATTAAACACAAAGATATAACTGGATCTCCATATGTAAATATATAATCGATTATGATCGAGCTTTGTGTAGATTAGATAAATAACTCGCATCCGCATAACCAATTAATGTCTTTGATTTATTAAAGTAATATAAGCCTATATCAATTATTCCTCAAAGATAACGTAGTATATATTTAACTTTATTTCAATGTCTCTATATTGAAACGGAACTATTACTTGCTCATAAATTTATAGAAAAAACTATATTAGGTCGAGTATTATTAGCAAGATACATCAATGCACTAGTGGCATTAAAATATGGTACTTCGGGACCAAGTAGTTCTTCGTTATCTTCTCGAGGTTGAAAAAGGTCTTTTTTAATATCAAGTGAATGAACTACCATTGGGCTAGTCAATGAATGATCTTTGTATAGAATCATTGTAGAACCCTTTTCGATATAAATTAACTAATGAATGAAAATCTCATTTTATGAGTGCTCGAACTACGAGTCGAGATAACATTTTGTTTTCTCAAGATGTTCACATCAAATTCTCTTTTAGGTAACTTATTACACTTGGAATCTCTTCGGGAGTTCTAATAATATTTAAATTATCAACATATACAACAAACTCTTTTTTAAATAAAAACATATGAACAAATAGGGTTATTTTTTATAACTTTCTTTCAATAAATAATCATTAAAGTGATTATCACATGCACACGGGTTAGTAATAAATAGTAGATATAAAAATAAAATATAAAAAGTATAAATTGAATTTTTAAAAAGCAAAATAATAAAATAAATACTAAAATAATCCTAATAGAGATCTCTATAATTTAATTGAATTCTTATCTCAAGAATATGTATTACATGTTTCGGCATGTCAAGTCCTTCTAGGACTTTCATACTTATTTCATTTTAAATGAATAAATAAACCGTGATCACATTCATTAAATGCATGCATATAAATGTTTTTCATATATTTTTTCAAGCTAATGAGATAACAAAAGAAAATTGCATCCACTATAGGAGAATATGTCTCTTCATAGTCAATGTCAATTCTTTACAAAAACTTTTATGTTAAAAGTTTTGCTTCATATCTTATAATCTCATCTTTTTTATTTCATTTTTGAATAAATACATATTTGTATCACACTAGCTTAACATCTTCGGGTGTTTTAGCTATGGGTTCAAAAAACTATTTTGTAAGAGAACATAATTTCGTATAGATTGCTCTTTTTATTTAGGCCAATCATCTTTATGTCGACATTCTTCAATAATTTAGGCTCGGGATCCTTATTTTCATTCATAATATCAATTGCAATATTATATGCAAAAATCTTATCAATAGATATTTCTTTTAGGTCCTATTTTCTCCCTGTATTGATATAATTTATCAAAATCTCTTGATTTTTCTCAAGTATTTTGACTTCTTCCGGAAGCCTATTATCGAAATATATTGGATCATTTTATGAATATTTTCATCTTGCCCTTTTTTTTTAGAGATTTTTATCCGTAGAATCGATCGGTCTTCCACGCTTCGGGTATGCTTTAGATTCATTAGTTATAACATTAATAGATCGCCCTTCTAGAGCATCAATTCTAATAGGAGCATTCTTAGCGGGGACTTGCATTTTAGTTACTCATTTAAGATCCGAGAGTGCATCTGGCGGTTGGTTTCAATACTCGGTAAATGAATTATTTTTTGAACTTCTAGTTCACATTATCTTCGACAAGAATCAAGGTGATATAAGATAGATCACTCCATGTAATCTTTTTTTTCAACATTCCAATTGCTTATTTTGCTTATTCTCTCCCCCTAATGTTGAAAAAACTATTTCATCAAAATGACAAGTCGATAAATCGAGCTGTAAAAATTTACTCTTGTTCATGATCAAGAGATTGAATTATCGAAGAGGATTCATATATTTCCAATCTCTTTTAAGTACTCATTTTATTTCATTATAGAGGAGCACTAAGGATATACACTGCAATGCCAAAAATTCTTAAACAAGAAATAATTGGCTCATGACCATAAATCAATTTCGATAACTTATGGGTCATATGCGAATAAGTGTTGTTGCATGTAAGATTGCATGTCCTCAAACATAAACAGAGAATTTTATTTTTAAATAATGATTTAGTCATTAATTCGAGCCTTTTGATAAATGATTTTGCTAAACCTTTTTGAGTATGAACATGAGCAACAAGATGTTCAATAGCTAATCAATAATAATTTAATGCTTGAGAAATAAATTCATCAGCATTATCAAGGTGACTTGTTTTAATGGTATAATTTAAAAATTATGCTTGAAATCAAATTATTTGCTAGCAATCTCGAAAACATCGGATTTCGAGTAGATAATGAGCATATATATGGTCATCTTGTGGATGCATTTATCAAAATCATAAAATATTTAAATGGTCCACATGGTGGATGAATTAATCCACATATATCACCTCGAATACATTCTAAAATACCGAAGATTCAATCTCAATTTTACTTGATGATGGCTTAATCATCAATTTACCTTGGCAATATGCGGAACATGAAAGTTCATTAAATTGAAGAATCTTCCGGCTCTTTAATAGATATTCATATGATTTTTTTTAATACATGAAAGAACCAAGATAGCACAATTGGTCATGTCACAAAATAAAAATATTTGAATTAGTAAACTTCGGTTTATTACAATATTTGTTTCAATCATTTCAATATTTGTAATAAATACTAGAAGAGAAAACGGATAAATTTTTTGATAGATATTTTCTATCCGATATAATGATTATAACATATAAGTATTCACATTTGCTATCTTGATATGATATCAATTTATATGAATATCTTTGAAACTCAATAAATTTCTATGAATCTTTAAAGAGAATAGTACATCCTTTATAATAAATTTATCCTTTCGGATAATAATATATTTGCTCTTCCGGAGCCTTTAAATTAGTCACTTCAAGTAATAATATTTCGACTCTTCTAGAGCCTTCAAAATCTATCTCTTTAGATAATAATATAGTCGTTCTTCTAGAGCTTTCTATTAGATTGATATTATCATATATAATGTTAACATAAAATAAATAATCAAATAAATCAATATAAAATAAATAAATCAATATATGCTTCATAAACATAAACAAATAAATAAATAGTAAAATAAATTTGTAACCATCAATATACAACATAAATTATAAGAAATATAAAACATTTTATTTATAAATATAAAAACTAACAAGTAATTAATTTCAATTACTATTACTTTGATATATAAAATTAGCCTCCATGTTTTATTTTCTTTTTCTTTTTCAACGAGGTTTGACAAGGTTTGATGAGGTTCTTTGGTGTACGGCAGGTACACGACTAATGTCCATTCATACCATATTTATAACAATTATTTTCAAAATGCCGACATTATCTATTTTCATTCTTTTTTTTTTCATAGTTATCCACTCTCGGTGGTAAAATGTAATATTATGGTCATCACAATTATAATGATAATTATTTTGACAACATCCATGGCTACGACTACATCTTCGTCCATGCCTAAAATTATTATAAATTGTCACATTCACTTCGGGGAATGGAATAGATCCAATTGGATGAGATTTATTCTTTTTTATTTTATTTAGCCACTAACAAGTATAAAATAAATCTAAAATATTACTTA